GAAAGTCATTTTACATTATATTTTTTATTATCTAACGATATTTATAATATATAAAGAAATGATTGAGAACATATAAAGAACATATAAAGTCATGTAATATTATATTTTTTATTATCTAACGATATTTATAATATAAAAAGAAATGATTGAGAACATATAAAGAATGAGTATGACTTACTCAAGAATAAGTATGACTTAGCTGAACGAGAATTAAAATTTCACATATAAAAATCGAAAAGAAAGTATTCGTAATACAAAGGGATGATAAAACAGTTGAAATTCTGTCGTTTAAAGAACTGGAAAGATGAGAAAAATAAATAAAAACGTTCAGCATCTATTCCATAACTTTCAAATGGTGCGATAATTAATGTAACAATATGCTCCAGAATAAAAACATTCCTTTGGACGAAACCGGACTTTTTGAATCATAATAAAAAAAAACACGCGTTTCCGTTCAAGCACGAGATCGAAATTGAGCCGAACAGTTCGGTAAATGGAATATGCGCTGATTACCTAACGACAAACGCGAAAAAAACGAAACGTTCGATAGAAAGTCTCACACAATGGCCGATATGCATAGAACGTAGCCAGCCGCTTTCTTTTCACGTGGGCTGAGAAAAAATGTCCTGACGCCACCCTTTAATCCGGCGACTTCGATATCCCCGCAGATTCACGCTGAAATAATACCTCGCGAATGGCTTGGCGTGAATCAATTCATTTTCTGGATGGAAATGCGTACACGGTCACGGTGTGTGCTTGGAATCTAATCTGGATGCCGGCTCTTAGTCGTGACTTAAGGGGTTGTTACGCCGATAGCAGAGGGCAGATTAGCGAGAATAATGCGCGTTTATATTGGCCGGATTATTTTATCGCGCGTGGACCTTTGGTTGGTCCCGCGTTGCATCATTATTATGCCGTTATACCCCTTGAGGTCGTCTCAAAAAACGTGTAAATTATCTGCGGAAATTCTCGACGTTTATTGGCGGAGTTGCCCGCGCAACAAGCGGAAAGATTGCATAACAGTGGTGACGATTTTGTTCGGAATAGATACGCTGATAAAGCAGCGAAATTATTGGCTCATAAATAAGTGACCGTAAGTAGGCCGAACTTTGTGCGAACACAATTTCCAGAGATCTCTAGAAACGAATGAAATGTTTGACTTTAACGGAAATAATGCTAAAATGTTAAATACTTCTGAAACAATTCTTGAAAAGACAAATTTTTTTATCAAACAGATATTAATTTATATGCAGGCACTGAAACAATAGAATTTTACTTGAACCTTCGATAGTTTGAAAATTAAATTCTCAAGGACACTTTGCTTATAGGTGGATTGCGGATCTTTATGCATTTTTTTAGAAGAATTTCGATATGAGACAGAATATTTCAGAACAATATAGAACATAGACATATTATTCTTAAATGATTAGAATTTGTGAAGAGGAAAAATACATTTCTATTCGATTTAAGTTTCTTGAAATGGATGAAGATAATTTTTATTTTGCTTAAATATTCGCAGTTTGCCTATAAGGAATTATTAATTCTGTCAAGTCTATTCAAATTGACAATTACGATCTTTCTTTGCATTCTAATAAAAATTTCAACAAATATATAAAAAGCGAACTCGAAGCAGAAGGAAATGGATATATTGGAGAAACAAGTAATCTAGAAGCGAATTAGAAAATAATAGTAATAAAGAATATAAGAAAATTTTGATAACAAGGTTAGTGTATATGTATATATAAATTAATTATTATATTAATTTTATATATTATATATAAATTAGGTAGTATATGTATACACATGTAATATATACATATTATATTTATTATATTTATTATATTTATATTATATATGTTATATATATATATATATATATATATATATATATATATATATATATATATATATATATATATATTATATTTATATTATATACATTATATTCTCCGCGGGAAAGTTTGTTTTGACTTGGCCGCACACGTAGTCGCATCGACTCCAACCTAATTAGTTTGTGATAAAGATAGAATTAAGATGACGACATTAAATCCACCGCGTTCTTAACTTAAGCCCGGGTAAGAAGGATTAACTATTATGGAGATGCGAGGTGGCCCGCCCATGTGATTAGGCATTTTTCGATCGGGCGGTGCTTACAGGAGAGATTACGAAGAGAAAGAAAGCAGTAATAATCCGAAAGGTCAGTGACTACGTATCGGAATCAGCCATCGAAGGCATTATGCCGTCTCTTTGTTTACACGGTGGAAGTTCAGTTGTACGAGCTGATTGAGCGATACTCCGTTTGCATAATCGAATTCTTTCGTTTGACACTTGTTTATCATACAATGTTGTAACAGAGTAACAGGCTACAACATTTGTAAAATTTGTGTCCACAAACTTTTACGAAAATATATGTACTTTGACGTAATATCCATTATTGTTTAAAGGAAAATAATATTAAGAAACGAAAATACTATTTTTCATTATATTCGAAAATATGTGCACTTTAGTACCAAAGGTTTGTATAGTATTCGTTTATAGTATAGTATTCGATTTAGACTGGTTTATTTTATATTTATCAATATGATCGTCAATCTCATCAGACTTTTGCTAATATCTCTTGCGACTACTTTCGAAATACAGTTTTGAAAAATCGACTAAAATCGTCAGATTTTAGCACAAATGTATGTACATATATTGCTTTGTGAAAACGACGAGACAGGATTTATTCGAACATTAGGAAATGACAACTGAAGTGACAATTCAAACACATAGGAATGACTTTCATGATATCTCCGCAACTGTAAAAGAAAAGATCGAAAACCATTTTATCCGGTTTGGGAGTTCTCTGGCTTGAACGAGAAAGGGTGAAAACCGAAGTAAGATCTTGCCGAATAGCGTCTACTGTCACGTCGCATTTCATCGCTTTTTACCTGGCCGAGCGATTTGGTACCGCCGTTGCCACCGCGACGCGACGACAAGCCTGGAAATGCGCTCCGAATGCTAACGAAACTCTACCGTGATCTTTAGAATTTCTGAAAAATCCAATTATGGAGTCGAGCATGAAGACCTCCGGAACGTGATGGAAGTTCCCTGCGACGAAAAACTACGGTGATCCAGGGACCATTCAATGATTTGTCATGGACGTGCAGGGGTGGAATGAAGGGGCGAGAACGGCAATTCAGGAATTAGACACACCAATGGCATGGGTACGTCGGAAAAATATAGACGGCCCAGTGTTTTGAAAAATATCTTCGTCCGGGTTCCCACGACACGGTTTCGTCTCGGCCTGTACAAAGGGCCTATAAATTATAGAAGTCGCGCGAGTAGGTAATTCCTGCCAGAATTCGACGAGGGTAGCTCCGGCCGCACCTTTCTCCCCGCGACGCGACGCGACGTGTTAATTTATCGATTGCGTCGAGATAATGGAACGATGCCGCGATCGTTCATTTGTTGATGGGAAATTGTGCGTCGAATAACGTTGTTCGGAGATTTCGCTCGCCAAGAGACGCACTGTTTCATATTCTTTTTAGCTGATCACATGCGAAACGTCGTTATGAAAACAGTTGTAAGAATGGTAAAATTATAGAGCGCAAGGAAAGTTGTTTATTAACCAAAACTAATACCGTATTTCCTCTATTTTTGCTATAAGTAATTAATCCAATTTAAGACATCAAGAATTATTTCATTAGCTATTACGATATTTGGCAACTAAACCATTTGAAAATACTGTTATTTATCGAAATTAAAAGAAGATAAAATGATTTTCTATTTGAGTCTTGTGTCTTTTTGCAAGTGATTCGAAGAAATTCATCAGAAATATTCGCAGTCTAATTATAAACACAATAATAAATTATGTGAAATATGAAAGACGGTTTGAGAGAAATATTGCGTGCTTTTAAAGAGACTATCGCAATTAATAAATATTTAGGCATCGTTATAATAGGAAAATATGTTTTTATGAGGGTGTTTTTCATTATCTCTTTGGGAGCACAATGAAATTATTTGTACAGTAAGAATTTGGAAGTAGAAATGGTTATGTTTTTGAATACTGTTAATTACATCTTAAAATCTGTTTTAGCATAACATTGAAGCTATTAATATTGATACGTTTCAAATAAAAAAGATACTTACATCCATGTTCCAGGTGTGGTCGATGCTGCGTCGATAAATAGTAGCCGTAAAATAATAAATATAGTGCAGAAGAACGCCATCTTTGTCTGAAAAAGAAATTCAGCGTGTGAATATTGTTACGAATTATTTCTCATTCGATTATTCTCATTCATTCTCATTCAATCATCGATGATTTACACAGCACCGTCTGCCATCAACGATCCATTAAAAAGTATCTCTGATGCAACTTGCCACACGCGTGCATAACCACTGTACTCATAAATCTACTGAATTAGAATGTGACGCTAAAAAATGATATATATATAATATATATAATATAATATAATATATTATAGGTTATATTATATTATATATATTATTATATTATATTATAATATATTAATATAATATAATATATTATAGGTTATATTATATTATATATATTATTATATTATATTATAATATATTAATATAATATAATATATTATAGGTTATATTATATTATATATATTATTNAGAACGCCATCTTTGTCTGAAAAAGAAATTCAGCGTGTGAATATTGTTACGAATTATTTCTCATTCGATTATTCTCATTCATTCTCATTCAATCATCGATGATTTACACAGCACCGTCTGCCATCAACGATCCATTAAAAAGTATCTCTGATGCAACTTGCCACACGCGTGCATAACCACTGTACTCATAAATCTACTGAATTAGAATGTGACGCTAAAAAATGATATATATATAATATATATAATATAATATAATATATTATAGGTTATATTATATTATATATATTATTATATTATATTATAATATATTAATATAATATAATATATTATAGGTTATATTATATTATATATATTATTATATTATAATATATTAATATAATATATATGTAATATCGTCAAACTCTGTACATATCTCCGAAAACCTGTTAAAATATAGAAAAATCACGTTGAAAGCCAACGATTTGCATCTATCTATCATCAAAGATTCACTGAAAAATGTTTCTGGTACAACTTGTCCCCTACGCGCGTATTTACGCATTCATGAATACTGTGACTTAGAGTGTGATACGAAAACGTCGCGGCTTTTCCATTCGATTTCCAAGTGTTGCTGCGAAAAATCCGATGAATTATGCACGATCTCAACGTTTCCGTTCGTCGCAGGAGACTCGTTGAAAAATCCCCGTTTTACGAAAACACTCGAAGACCCTGTAGCGCGGAAGAAGGGCATTTCCGAAGGTAAATCCGAACGATAATGTTAAGCGCTTCACCCGGTATATATAACCAGTACCTGAGCATACATAAGGTACGCGTATACCAGTTCTGTGGGCAGTAAGCACGCCGAGGACTCGCCTCGGAACGAAAGACACCTAAGTCCAAGCGATTATGGTACATCGATTCGACATTACACCTTGCTCGCTCCTGAAGCGACTCCGCGAGACTCCTCGGTTCTTGCTCTCTCAGCACGGCTGAGGGCTGAGAGCTGCATGACTGGTTAATAGAAACTACGGAGCTGAGTTACGAGTCACAAACTCTATAACTTTTCATTTTCCGCCGTGTGTTATACCGGGATATGAGAACTGTGCGAGCCGATGACTAAGGTACGCGGTAAACCCGTATTTATGGTTTGCGGGTTTTCTGGATTTTTTCGCAGCCGATTCGCCGAGAGTGATATCGGATCGGTGAATCAGGTAGCTAAGAGCTGAAAGGGCGGTCGACCGTTTAGGGAAAATGAGTCGTTCGACGGAGCTTCCTTGGATTTCATCGTTCATGCGCTGGATGAAAATGTCCTCGACGGATTCTCGAATCGTTTAATTTATCAGCTCAGATCGATTCTTAAAGGTTCTCCGACGAAATTTGTCGAGTTTCTTTTCCGATTTTTAGCGCCGTTGTTGAAAGCATCTATTCAAGAGTTTAAATAGTGGTATATAGTTGGTAAAAGATCTAACTCTGGCCATGCCAAAATCGTTTTGCATGGAAATTACTAACGGGAATATGGTGAGTAGATTGCGAACCTTTGTGCATCCATGGCATTTACATATTTTTTAACTAGTAAATGACGCGCATATTAACATATATTAATGGCAGTGCTGTCTTATTTTTATACTATAAGGAATTTTCTAGTTCGTAAATCGTTCCTCATTCTTGGTTTTATGAAATGGTCTATAGGAATTGGTATTTACATAAAGATTCGGAGTCTAACGATGATTGAATTTTGCCCAAAGTAAACGCACCCTTTGATCTTCTGCAACTGAAAATGGTACAAACGTAAATTGTATTTTACGATGCAAATAGATACACGTACTTCTTTAGAAGAATCTATCGAGCTGTAAATTTGATTACCAGTGTGTCATGCACAATTGCAGTTTCCGCATAATTTGCATTTACTTGGCCAAACTTTATAATTCCATTGTACTTGTGAATTTAATCAGTAATTTTCAAAAGTATGTATTTAATTTGCTTCGTGGCTATTTACACTATTAGGTGTACCTTGACGACATCAGGAGTGAACGATTATCTTGCATACGATCACTTTGTCATGTAGGTGGTAATTATCAGTAAAATTGCAGGTTTTGTAAATTAACAGTTTCAATTTTCTTTTTAATTTGACATGTACAAGCTATAAAAAGAAATATTTTTTTGACACTTTGCTTTATAAGTGATAAATTGAAAAGACTTACCACAAAGTTCGTAATTTCTTTATTAACGTTTTACAAATTACACTGGTAAGTTCTTAATTGGCACAGTAAGCCTGCAGTTTGATTTTATTATATGAAAATATGAAAATTATCTAAACCAACTGTCAAGAACAGAAGAGAAATGCAAATGTGCTTCCGCGTTCATTGATTTGAATAAGTCAGAAGTGGACTTAAATTATACCAATATCTCTCAGTTTGTATTCTACATATTCAATTTTTGTATAAATGCATAAAAACTATATTATAATATATAAGAATATAATAATAATAATAATTAATATAATAATAATAATATATATAACAATGTATATGTGTGTGAAGTTTTTATCAGCTTTAGGAAGTAACTAAGGATTTATTTGGTTCCCCAATTTCGAATTGAATCGAAATAAATCGGTTTATAAAAATCGATATCTGCGTTTTCCGATAAGCAACTATATTAGACAAGACATTTCTAGCTTATGATGAACCTATGAGAATAATCTATAGTTGCGCGATAGAAAGAAGAACACAGAAAACAAATTACAAGTAATTCGATTGAGGCTGAACACAATTTCCTTGAGTAATTTCAGAAGATTAAGAGTTACGTTCGAAGATCGAAAAGTATAGTCCATTATGGTAGATCGATTCTTGTGTTACACCTTGCCCGACCACGATGGGTGGCTGTTGCTTTCAGGTTTACCTGCTGCGGCTGGTTATGTAGTACGCGTATCAGCACCACAACGAAATAACGAGTCATAAATTTTGTAACTTTTGATCCTGTCGTGTTTTCATTTCAGGTGGTCACTCAGCATGTTAAACGCATTCACGAACAAGAGCTTCTTAAAAAAGGGGGCAAGGATTCTCCATCAATATCAGAAAAAATACTGGTACGACCGATTTGAAAGTTTGACAAACCTTTAAATACGTCCAATTATAAATAAAATACCAACATATTTTTACTTTGTAAATCATTGTTACGAAAAAAAGTTACAATAACATACAAAAAAGAAAATGTTTAACTTGGTTCATCTTATT